ACAGAAGCTAACTCAGCCCCCAAATCTGGTCATTTGCTTTGAAAACCATTTTCCCTGTTCATTTAACTAATTATCCTCTCCGGTGGTAAATAAACAGTGTTCTTCTCAGCCTGATGCTATGACTACCTGGGAATACATTTGCAGAAAAACACTGGCTGCTAACTTTTTAGAGACGTTTCTTCTTTTTTGTGACTTTCTAAATAATTCAGATATTCAAGCCCTACAATAAAAAACTAGATTTGAAGTATTTTACTAAAATTGGAGCTACAGAATTGAAAACTGTTACACTGCCTCTTTGTGGTGCAACTAAATTGATTTTTTTGTTTTTATAATTGAAGTCAGTTGACTCTGTAGTTTAAAAATCAAAGTATAAATAGGCAGGAAGCAGAAGCTGCTCTCAGGACCAAGTTTTTTCTCCCTGCCTCTCCCGTCCTTTGTTGTCTCAGCCCAGTTCCCTTTCCTCGTTCATTCCATGTTTTAAGATTAATGTAAACACAAAAGTCCTTTTGGATTTAAGGATTTAATGGTTCACCTCCATAGGGAAACAGAAAGTTAGCAGATGTTAAAATACATGTTAACACACACACACACTCACACACCCCTAAGTGTCCGTTACCATGAGTCTTTCCGGTGCCCGGAATACTTTGCTAACACCCGTCCCTGCCCTCACCCCTGTCACAAGTCCTCTAGATTTCAGCTCACGTGTCACATTCTCAGAGGAACTTTCTCATTTCCTAGAACTGCCTGTAGGGACACTTAACATCCTGTACTTCAGCTCTGCAGCACTAAGTACTGAGCATTTGTGCGTTTAGATTTTCCCGTTCCTGTCTTTCCTACTAAACTGTAAATTCCATGAGAAGAAGGACTCTGTCAGTCTTTCTTTTCTAATTTTATTTTTCATTTACAGTTTACACTCAATATTATTTTGTTTTCGTTTCAAGTGCATAGCACAGTGGTTAGACAATCACACACTTTACAAGCGACCCCCCCCACATTTCAAGTACCCCCCAGCACAATACATAATTATGACCATGTTAGTGACGATATTCCCTCTGCTGTACTTTACATCCCCGTGACGGTTTTATAACTTTTAATCCCTTCACCTTTTTCACCCAGTCCCCCAACCCACCTCCCCTTGGCAACCACCAGTTTGATCTCTGTTTCATGAGTCTGTTTCTGTTTTATTTATTTTGTTCTTTAGTTTCCACATGTAAGTGAATCATGTGGTGTATGTATTTCTCTGCCTGACTGACTTCACTTAGAATGGTAGAATGTCGCAAATGGTAATGCTATCAGCAAGACCACGAGACCTCGGTTCTTGTCTTCTTGAAGGAAAGATTTCAATCAAGAGACAAAGTGTAGAAAAGCAAGCAAGGGCGCCTTGGCCTCAGCAGAAGCTCACTCAGGACAGTGAAAGAGGGAAGGGCATAGAAGAAGCCACGGGAGAGCCTGGGCCGGGCTGCTTTGGCTCACGGGGAAGTCAGAGAAAAGGGCCTTGGAGACAGGTTCGGGGGTAAGCCCGGGACGAGCTGCTGCTGCCCATTGCTCCCCTGGTAGCAAGTCTCGCGGGGCCCCCTTGGAGGGAAGAAGAGGGGAAGGGAATGGCATGGGCATGCTCCCCTGGGGGGAGCGCACACTGGGTCCTTCATGTTGAGGGTTTTTATCTCTTTCTTCCAGGGGGGAATCTTCGGGGAGGTCTCACAGTGGTTGCTGGGGCATAGGAGGGGGGGGAATAGGAGGTTGGTAAAAGGCTATAAGATGAATAACGTCTGAGGATCGAATGTGTAACAAGGCGACTGTCGTTGATAACACTGTGTTGTATAATTTAAATTTGCTAAGAGAGTAGAACTTAAATCCCACACACACAGAAAGGTGCATATGTGAGGCAATGGATGTGGTAATTAACTCAGTGTGGGGAATTCTTTCTCAGCATATGCATGTATGAGATCATCACTGTATTCTTTAACTGTTTTACAATTTGATTTGTCAGTTATACCTCAGTAAAGCTGCGGGGAAAGAAAATAAATAGAAAGTGGGAGACAGAAACAGAGATTTGATGATGTGATCATTAGTTATACTAATGAAAGTGTGGTCCTCAGCTATATGATCTATGCAGTATAACTTCTGAAGTCACTTATACATAACTATAAATATCAGAACATACTACATAGATCTAGAGATTTCTGCTGCTGGGAAAAGTTTCTCTTGGGTCAGTTCAGTGAGACCTAAGTAGCCAGTAGTCACAGCATTGTTTATCACGGCAGCAAAAGAAATAGTGTTTGAAACTGCATTTGCTCTCAGGATATCATTTAATACATGCACTATGTACATCAGTGAGTCAAAGTGTAAGCGTAGTTCATAGGCTTGCCTACTTCCTACCCAGCCGGTTTCCTCCAAGCTTTACCTGTTGGGAACATCCCAATTATATAACATCAAAATTACTTTATCAAGTTTGGGACCATGACATAAAAATATTATGCAGCTTGTCACTTTCCCTCCAGTTGAAATATTGTATAATCTACTATGGTAGATTTGTTGAAACAAAGTAAATGCTTCCCTAAAATTCAAGGGCAGACCTTATGCATATATTCTAAGTCTGGTAATAAGTAGGACCTGCACTGTAGGATCATTGGGGATGAAAGGATATAGTACATGTGTATTGATAAGCGCAAAACCTAGCAGAGTGCCCCTCAATATTAATTAGCTATTGTACAGTGGTTACAAGGTCAACACTTGTTGAAATTAATTCTGTGTTATAAAACACTACATTATAATACTAATGTAGTATTATAATACTAATTATAATTCTTGCAACATAAGAGCAAGAATCTGTTGAGTCTTAAGAGTAGAGGAGATTGAATAGGCATTTAGCTACATAGTTTACCAAATGTTTTTCGTTTCATCATAACATCTGTAAGCTGCTCGTGGCATTCTGTATTTCTTTCATAGATTGTTGTCTGAAAATCAATTTGCTTTTCCCAACATCTAACAAGTGGAATCTACCCTGAGGAGTGGAAAAAACCTTTAAAGAGTTTTCTTTTATCTGCATATCTCAAGGATTTATCACTTAAGAGTTTATATTTTTACCTGTGGATATTTTTCCCAGTAGCAAAATGAACTTTTTCTCACTCGTATCTATAATTGCTCAGTGGACAGAATGTGTAGTCAATAATTTGAGAACAAATGTACTGCACTCTCTGTTGCACAATGATTTTCAGTATAAATGTCCGTATACAAGGTAACATTTCTTTGGAATTCAATTAGATGAAAAAGTAGCATTTTATAAAGGTCATAAAGTAAGACTAGTTTTTCTGACAGACGTGCCTAAGGTTGAGTTGGGCTACATAAGGTCAAATTATTATGTTTACACTGATGTCCTCTTTGGTGGGGAGAGCAAATGCGAATGTTTAGTTACTGTGATGACAGGGCCTAGACATGTAGACCTGTACTATTTTCCTCCCACAAATAAGTTTTCCAGTTTTTAAAATATCTTCCCCCTTTTGGTTTGATAAGTAGTACAGAACGCATGTATTTGAGACCTAGAAACTGAACTGAGACCTCAAAGCTCAGTTCCCGTGAGGGTTTTGCCTCCTCGAGCGAGGCCACCGCCAGAGTCAGTGTCATAATTACAGATGGCATCCTCGTGGAAAGCCGGTCATTGGATGCATGTGTATAGACAGAGAGCCAAGTGACCCTGCAACGTGGTGTGTACCACATAACATCACACACCAACGGCAAGAAATTTTGTTTTCACAGCATGAAAATGATATACGGCCACCGGCCGGGAAGGAACGAAAACGCTCTATCACCAAAAATCCCAAAATCGGAGGCCTGCCTCTGATTCCCATCCAGCAGGAGAGAAATGCCACCCAGGCCCGGAGAAACATCGAGGTAGGTTAGGGGTTCATTTCTTTCATATTAATTACAGCATTTATTTTCTTATGTCTTCCTGTGATAGAGTGCACTAATTAATTCATTGGCTTCAAAAAGTCAGGAACCATCACTTTGAAAAGCATAAGAAAATTCCCATCCATCAGGAAAACATTATGAAAAAACCTATGGCACTTTTTTGAAGTTTTAATAATGTCAGTGACCGCTAAATATGCAAAATACCACTTGTTTTCTTAGCTCTACAGTAGCCAAGCCATTTTAAATACCTGTACAGATGTTCTGGTGGTAAAATCACAGTGTCAAATTAGTCTTACAAGTTGACTTTTAACAACCTGAGAACGAGCCCATGGCAGAGTATGTCTGGAGCCATGGTAACTAGACTTTCCAGTAACATAATCAAGCTCCAGTGGCTTAGGAACCAATGGGGTGTCCCAGTTAATTTAAGGAACTGCGAGGTGACCCCTGAGTGTCAGTAAAGAAGATTTGGCATTTTTCATGAAGGCAGCGATTTGTTTTCCTCTTCACCTCGAGGGGCATGGAGCGCAGAAGTGGCATCCGTCTTGACTTGATGCTCAGTCTCTTCAGGAAACAGTGTAGGCTGTTTACACTCAAAACTAATTACCTGCTTTGGGACTAAGGCGTGTTTCAGTGCCTCAGCCCAGTCTCTCAAAGCAAAAAGCAAAGCATGTAAAAGATACTATTTCTTCTTAGAGGCATGGTTTGGAATTAATCTGTTTGAATTTCTTACTTTCCAAACAAATATTTTTTGAAAGACTAAAGGCATTTTAACTTAGTAATCAGATTTTTTAAAAAATTTTTGTCCGTGCCTATCTTTCTTTGAACACTTACCTCATTGTAATAGTCTTCTCTAAAAGATAAATGCCTTTGGAAATAATGGTTATTACCTTTGTGGCCCGCTTGGTCCTTCTGCACTAATGTGATCAAAGAAAAGACTTAGCCTTCAAGATGTCCTGAGCTTGTTTCCCCTGCCACTCTGGGTGATCAACTGCCCTGCACACTGTGGGTTCCGTAGCTAATCCAGAATCTTAAAATTCTAGGGGTCACATTTCCCAGGAACCCAGGTTAGGAGACACAGGTTGAACTATGAAGCAAACATCGGGAGTAGATATGCCCTGTTGTGACCCCAGCTCGTCCTGGCATTGCCTTAGGATCAATTATGGATCAAAGCAAAAGACACAGTATTAGTATCCAAATACATCAGCCAGTACCCGGTTGAGAATTGGGATGATAATTGAATATATAATTGTTACCTAATACCACATTCAGAATTTCAGAGACAGGTTTTTTTTGTGTTTCTTTTTAGCATACTTAAGACTGGGAAGCTGATGAATATTATAATAACTACATTTTGTTAAAGGCTCTTAAAACAGTTTCATGAAATATTAATTAATGGAAATTAATAAGTAAACTAACCCAAGATTTTTTTGTAAGCTTAAATGTAGTGATTTGGTGATTCAACATGCAGGCAAATAATGTTTTAAAATATTCCAGTGTTGGAAAAAACAGTTGAAAGTTTAAAAAGCATTAAAACAAAATTAGTAAAACTTGAAAATTTTTCCTATGAACTGCAAACCTCCCAGAAGAAAACATAGGCAGTAAACTCTGACATTGTTCTGAGTAATATTTTTGTGAAAGAGCTCCTTGGGCAAGGGAAAAGGGAGAAAAAATAAACAAATGGGACTATAGCAAACTAAAAAGTTTTTGCACAGCAGAGGAAACCAACAAAATGAAAAAACAACTTATTCAGTAGGAGAAGATCCTTGCCAATAATACATCCAATAAGGGATTATTGTCCAAAATAAATAAGGAACTCATACAACTTAACACCTCCCCCCAAAAAATGTGATTAAAAAATGGGCAGAGGACCTGAATAGACATTTCTGCAAAGTGGACATACAGATGGCCAACAGACATATGCTAAACATCACTGATCATCAGGGAAATGCAAATTAAAATCATGAATATCGCCTCACACCTGCCAGAACAGCTACCATCAATAAATCAACAAGTGTTGGTGAGGTTGTGGAGAAAAGGGAGCCCTGTGCACTGTTGGTGGGATTGTAAATTGATGCAGCCACTGTGGAAAACAGGATGGAGGTTTCACACAAAAATTAAAAATAGAACTACCTTATGACCCAGTGATTCCACTTGTGGGCATTTATTCAAAGAAACCCAAAACACTGATTTGAAAGATATATTCATCCCTATGTTTGTTGCAGCGTTATTTACAGTACCCAAGATAAGGAAGCATCCTAAGTGTCCACAGACAGACAAATAATGAAGATGTGGAACATAGATATAAGGGAATATTACTCAGCCATAAAAATCGAAATCTTATTTGGTACAACATGGATGGACTTGGAGGGTGTGCTAAGGGCAGTAAGTCAGATAGAGAAAAAAAACATGATTTCACTTACGTGTGGACTCTAAAAAACACACACCAAAATAAACAAAACAGAAACAACCTCATAGATACAGAGAACACATTGATGATTGCCAGGCAGGAAGGAGGTTGGGAAGATGGGTGAAAAAGGTGAATGGGTTAGAAGTATAAATTGCCAGTTAATAAAAACAGTCACGGGGATATAAAGTACAATATAGGGCATATCATCAATAATCTCGTAAGAGCTGTGTCTGGTGTACTGGACTTACTGGGGTGAGCAATTCATAAGGTGTATAAATGTCCAATTACTATGCTGTACACCTGAAACTGTAACTGAGGAAAAGCAATTCTAAAGTAGAAAGTTTACCTCTATACCATTGCAGGTGTGACAATGGATTTCCAGTGCCTGGGGGCCCTTATAGTTTACCGAATGAATGTGTACTGTAAGCCACTGGTACAAAAGTGGCTGTATATATATATAGAGAGAGAGAGAGATTTTAGTGTTTTTAAAAGTATATCTGTGGAGTTCTAATAGATAGTATGGGAGGAAAGAGTCTACTAAATATTTGGGAGGAGTAAAACAGAAAAGAAGTTAAAGAGGTTTCCCTGTCATGACACTGCTCAGCACCTGCACATGCTGTGTACCGTGAGTCTCAGAGGGGCTGGAGCGCAGGGCCTGGCCCTCCTCACAGGCCAGAGAGACTCCTTTCCTCTGGGTGCTGTGAGCACAACTCTGTAGGAGCCACAGATGCACCGACATGTGACACATCCAAGCAGAAGTGACTTGGAAGAGGCAAGTGTGACATGACAGTCAATCTATAACTAACCCGAAAGACATCTTTGAAGTTCTGTGTTAAATGCACGTTAACATGAATTTCCACGGTCTACATTTTAGTTGACTTGGTAGCTCTCAGATCAGCATATAAATTCAGACAAGCCACGTGTGTCAAAGTAAAGTTAGAACCTAAATCATAGAAATACGCTCTAATATAAAGCATCCGCTTTTACACGGAATGTATTTTTAAGTGTAAGTTGTGCCAAGTCTTGCTCCCTGAGCGACGTTTCTTTTCACCCCAGGGTGCGCGAGCGGAGCTGGAGAAGCTGCGGCTGGGTGAGAAGCGGGATCCGGAGCCTGGGGACAGCACCCTGAAGGAGCGAGCCTCGCTGGTGGCGCACTGCCTGGAGCACAGGGACGATCAGCTGCGGCACCGGACCCGGAAACACCGGAGCCTCTACTGTCTGGAGGACACGGAGGCGGAGGCCTTTCACGGGCAGCAAAGAGCCCTTAAAGGCGCGAAGACACTGGCGAAGGCTGAGGACAGGAACGGCAAAGCCGCTCTGGACCCTGAGAATAAGCTGCCATCGCAGGTCATCAGAGAACTGAGCGTGGTCCTGCAGCGGTCAAGAACCCTTCCAAAAGAGACGCCGGGCGAGCCGATCCTACAGAAAGAAACAAAGTGAACTGTAAATTTTAAAAAACATTGTGTACAATGTTTGTGCGCAAATCAGAAACCAAGCTAGAAGATAGTTCACGGTTTGTGCAGTTCGTCTAGCTATGTGTAAGCTTTTGAAGAGCATTTTAAAATATGTATGTATATATGTGATAAGTGTAAAATTAACTTTATTTTGGTCTGAACAAAGCTTGTACAGTTCCACTATATTAACCATGTGTAAAAAAAGCATTGGGTTACTTTGAGTGGCCACCTTTTTAAAGTAGTTGTCTGTTAAGTGGTGTAATTTATGAGCAGAGGTATCAAACTCTACTGTACTGTATAAAATGCTGTTTAAATGGAGCCTATGAAGCTATGTAACACATTTTGCACTTTGAGAAACTTTGTATATTAAGTTCCCACGTGTTTTTAGGTTTACATAGGGTCTACCTTAGGGAAAAGAAAGGGAAGGAAGTTCGTTGAAAACGGGGGAAGACTTATTTTAGTGGCTGCCTGTGGAACAACAGGAACAAGAGAACAACACGGGGGTTTTCAAAAGAGGCAACAAGTTAACAAACATCCTGAACACCAAGGAGGTCAGTTAGGATTGATTCTAGTTCACTGCTGAGAAACTGCTTGTTAAGAAAATGCCCAGTGACTTAAGTATCCCCCAGGAGTCATACTCAGCCAACAAACACATCTGACGGCGCTGGCCACTCCTGGGGTGTGCGGGAGCGGGCCACCGTGTGCGGGAGCGGGCCACCGTGTGCGGGAGCGGGCCTGGCGCGGTGCCCTTCGCAGTGTCAGCAGCGCTGCGTCCTTACTGTAGCTTTGGTACGAACAGGGTTCATCATCACGGTGTTGCTGCTGCTGTTTTTGTTACTGTTGCCATTTGTACGTTCATCTCGTTCCCTTGAGGGAGCTGTAGCTGCCTCTGCGCCCTCAGAGGTCAGTGGGGGTCCACCACAGGGCCCTCGCGGTGGGGGGCGGCTCCTCCGCACCCCCGCTTGCGGTCAGCTGCCGAGGTGGGGACTCGCCCAGGCCAGGCAGTGCTGAGGGGAGGCCACCACAGGGGCAGCGCTGTGCAGCAGTTTCTGTAGAATTTTGTCAGATCTGGCACATTTTAATTAAAGATTATTTTATGCAGTTAAGCTTTATCTCTAGCCTTTCTTTTCATTCCCCCCCTATTTTCAGGCGTCTTCCTTGTCAGAATTTGTACGCAGAGGTCCATGCTCGGTGGGTCCCATCAGTACAGTAACGTGCTGGTAAAGGCCATGAGTATGAGTGATCGGTACTTTACAGTGTAAAATACTTACTGATCACTTACAATTTTACATTACAAAATACTGATCACTTATATTGGGTGGGAATAAAATCGATTGCCCTGGATATGTGATATTTATTCTTTAAATCCAAATCGATTGGAGTTTTTTTAAAGAAGAAAAAGCTGCAGGTCAGTTTATAAAATAGGTGGCATTACTGGGGAGCCTTAATGATATCTAGGAAAAAAATCTAAAACTATTATTCCTAATAAGTGATAATATTTATGTTGTAAAGTGTATGAATATTAATGTTTGACAATGGAAAAAGGATCTGGAGTTTTTATCTGTCTTACCTGAATATTTTTGAAACTTGAGCTTAAAATCGAATAGCTTCTGTTTCCCTCCTTTCCTGTACAATTCTCTCCATTTTTCCAGGTGTAAGATAAGGGCTAATGATATATATTTTGAGTAAAAATTAAAATTGTTTTACAAGTCCGCCTGAAAGTGTGACTGTCTCCATTATTTTCAGAGTCGAAGCTGGTTGTTATAAAATAAATAGATTGTATTTCCTTTTCTCTTTATAAAAAATGTGAATTTAATATATACTTAAAACTAGCTCTTTCATTTTTTTCAAGTACATCAATAAAAATATTGTTCTATTTTTAAATGATAAATATATGCAGACCTGTCGAACAGAGTCTGAAACTAATATAATGTTATAGGTCACTTATCCCTCAATGAAAGAAAACAAAACAAAAAAATAAATAAAAACAACCTGACCCCACAACCTTCAGCTCAGTCCCTGATTGGATCAACATTATCAGCCTTTTGTCAGCCAAAAGATAAAAGGGTGTATTCTCTCTTGAGAAAGATATTATCTAGAGTTTCAACAATTTTTTTCACTGTCTGGCATTAACAAAACAAAAAATTTAAAGAGACAAGACCCTGTAAACAAAACGAGAAAAAAATATAAAATGAAAGAGATCTACAAGTGAATACGATAATAGAATTACCAAACAAGGACTCAGTGACAGCTATGATTAATATCAAGGAAAATAGAGGGAAAAAAGATAAAATACAGGAAGTTGGATAATTCTGCCAGAGTATTGGAAACTAAAAAATGAAATGGAAATTCTAGAAAAATAAAGTAACCGAAGTTAAAAATAAATGGATTTAACAAAAGAGTAGATGTGCCAAAGTAGATTAATGAGTTGGAAGAGGGGATGATACATGTATTAACTATATATCCACAACCAAACAGAAAAACAGGTGGAAGATACAGCAGAAGAGAATGTGGGCCACTGGAAAGGGTTAACTTGCCTGTGATTTTCTACCCAGGAGAGGAGAGGACATACAGGGAGGAGGGAGGACTGGGGGAGAGGAGAAGGAATTTTTCGGAACTGATACAAGATGTCAAGCAGCAGATACAAGAAGCTACCTAAACTCCAAGCGAGGTACATACAAAAAGAGCTACACATGACAGAGGAAAAGAGCCGAAAAGTTCAAAGGAACTTGTAAAATCGGAGAATAAACAGTAAACTTAAAGTTACAACAATACAATGATAGTGGGCTCTCACCGTTACAAAAGGAAGGTGGTAGATATAAGGCCGAATATATCACTGCAAGTACCTCAAATGCAAAGGAACTAAACACCAGTTAAAAGCAAACAACAAACTATGGGTTTGCTGCTTCTAAGGGCTCATTAAATATAAAGCCAGATGTAGAAAGCAAGAAGTTGAAGAAAAGAAATACTATGCAGATACTTATCTCAAGAAAACTGATGTCCCAATACTGATACAAAACAAAATTGACTTGAAGATAGGAAACATTGTATCAGATAAGAGGCTTCTTTATAAAGGAAGATATTAATAAGATTCTTATATCTCTCATAAAATTGCAATTCAAGTTTCAAAGAGTAGGATTCAACTCACTCAGTAGGATGCCATCTGGACAGGTAGGAGCTCAGTACACTGTGTTTCATGGAGCGGTTACATGTTGAAGACTGACAGAAAATGTCTTAAACACTAATAGTTGTGCATGATCCAACTCAGAACCCACCTAAAGACATAATAATTAAGCTAGTTAACTCTCTTGCGGAAAAGTTTTGCCACCTAACAGCTACTGAGATCACTCCTGCGTGGAAATAAGCGATCACCTTGGTGGTCGATGCCCTTCCTCCTGGACATGTGATGATGCCAGTGCCTGTGGAGGCCAAGGAGAGGGGACGTCCCACTCCAGAAAGATGAGCATTTCCATTTCAGAGATGGAGAGGGCTGGCTGCGACACTCGGAGCTACAGCCATCACCAAAGTCGGGAACTTTTATCTGATTCCTGTTGAATTCTTTTTATTGACCGAATCCCAGCAACATAAAGCAGCACTCCCTGAACAGTCCATCTGGGCTTCATTCTAAACGTTGAATCCATTTTCAGGTTCCGCACAGCTCCCCAGGTGGCATATCCATGGCCATTGTTTTTGGAAGTGCTGACGGCACAGATCAAACTCTGCAAGTGTGCCCTGGCTCGAGTAAATCTGTATTAATCCTAATATTTCTTCATCATGTTCCACCCAACTGCTCAGTTACCTAACAGGAGCAGGAATCCTTAATCCTTTAGGAAGATATATTTCTTCCTTGGCAGATGAACTTAATCTTTGCTTCCAAGGAATCTGCCTGGCTTGTGTTTTCATTTATGTATATTCTAACTATACATGAAATGAAATTATAAAATTACTCAAGTAACAGATAGAATGGCTTAGTCAGTACTTTTCCAACACTAAAGTTACCCAGCTGAATAAGGAAGTTAGACATCTAATTAATATTTAAGAACAAATTAGAAGTTGCACATTTGACGTGCTAGATCAAATTTCTAGAGCTGTGATGATGATGATCAATATTTTTCACAGAACATAATGGCCTCTATTTTACTGGATCTCATGAAGAATGGTGTGTATACATAGGCAAATAGTGCTACACGCTCACTCCAGGTAAACTGCATCTCATCTAAAATTTTATAATTGCATTACAAAATTACCAGGATTGAGGCTTCTGTATAGGGTTTTAGTGAAATAACTGAACCTAACAGTGACAGGTGTACACGCACCTATAGAGGGATTCAACCACTTTTTAAAAATATTTTAAATGTGCTCTTATACAACCAATATAATTCAAATACTAGAAGCATTTAAATCATTTCTATCAGTTGACTGTTCAAATGACAAATCAACACTAGAAGTTTTTTCATATTTTAAAAGAGATCATCTGCTAATCAAAGTCATTAAACTTGAATAAATTCCTGGAGTACACATTTTAACTACTTTCTACTGCAAAACAAACTCCTGACCTCATCCCTAGTCAACAGTCATTATAAAATGCCCTGGAAGTAGCCCCCAGGCCCTCAGGGAATTTTCTTTCATGCCTCAGAAGAAAGTGTGTAATAATTATTTCCTGGGTGACTGCATGGATGTGAGCGGTCAGCGGCCTACACTTAGTACCAATTATTTCCAAATTTTGATGAATGTTTGTTTGATTGTGGTAGTGGTGTAATAGTTTTTGTTTAGTGTTATTTTGTATATTCATTTGTTTATTTTGCTTTTTTATCTTTTTGGTTTGCTTTTTTTCTTCCTTTGTTCCTGGTATTTAAATGTAAAATTGGGACAGACTTTTTGATTTTTTCTATATAAACATAATTTTATACCAGAAGTCACATCTGGTCTCCTTCAATTCTGGTTAAAATTCCTTTTCAATCATGGCTTGTGAGAGGCATATCTTTATAAACTTCCTACTGTACTTCACAAATAATTAGATTGCAATTTAATTGCCTTCAGTAAAGAGGAATAGAAACACACATATTTCCTGCATGAAAGTTCTGTTGCTTTTTCTACTTACCAATTATAGTAAAAACACCCCTGACACTGCAATAATGTTGCTAATGTTTCCCGTTTTTAGAATAATAGTAACTTACTACCTAATGCCCCTGGGTTATGTTCCTGAGATACCTCCCGGCTGCGCCTCTGGGTGCAGACCAGGGGCTTGGAGGTGCAGGCGCTGGGCCGCTGCGGGCGGGGTTCCGGTGGCCGCCAGGCCCCGAGGCTTGAACCCCCCTCAGCGCCGCGCATCTCAGTAGTTGCAGCGCCGCCTCTGCGGGTTAAAGTGACTGTGGGCAAAGCGCACGGGACTCGAAGGACTGTCTCAGGGGAAACAACGAGCGATGATTCACTCGACACAGACAACGTCCTGAGGGCCTCCCCCGCCCCTGCTTCGGTCACTTACCCCGCCTGACGGCTGAGTGTCCTGCCTCCTGTGGCCGCTGCTGAGCTACGAAGCGCTTGCACAGTTGGGCCTAAATTTGTAAGGCGGCCCTCGAGGTGGAGACCAAGCAGCCTGACCGTGACCGTGACCGTGACCGTGACCGTGGTTCGTCCACAATGCAGGTGACTTGCCAACTCTGTGAGATTTGAGGGACATTGTCTGATGATCTCATTCTCCGAGTAAACACAGCCTCCCTTTAAAGAAATTATTTCAACTTTAAAAAGACTTCCGTTTTTACTCAGCTAGTTAAAAGATGCGTAAGTATTTTACAAGTACAACTTGAAATAGTTTCTTTTAACCAGAGACACATTATTAATGTCTTTGGAAATTAGAAGCCCAGCAGTTGAATATATGAGAATTTCTTTTTACTTAGTCACTTGAAGAAATGTGCAGCATTGCAGTGGGAAAACACCACAAGAGTTAAAACAGATTAACTGGAACTTTCGGCAAACCCAATCAGTGGGGAGGGTCCCTGGGGGAGCTGGGGCTCACGGCCAAGCTCACTCTTTAAGGGATCCTGAGAACAGGACAGGAGAGCTGTCCAGGAAGAACTATGGGTTTATAAGGCACCTCTGT